TATTCCCCATTTCAATGATAAAGCGCTAAAAAAAAAAAAAAAAAAAAAGTAGAATGAATAATCTCTCTCTCTCTCTCATGCACCTTGCAATTTAAAATTACATTTACATGAGTTAGGGTTTTTAGCTTCTTATGGTTCAAATTTCTACTTGGCTTCTCCTTCTTTGTAATGTTAAGATGGGTTGCAAGGGGTTCGCATGAATGAAGTTTAATGAAGTTAACGGGAGGAACAAAATCTTTAAATCTCAGTCCCAAGTCTTTCTACAAGGACATATCACTGTGAAGGGGCTGAGAAAACCCTGTAACCAGCCATGGGGCCTGATACAAGAAAACATCTACAAGATGAGAAATATTTTTTTTAAATGAAGTTTCGTTATGTTGTGTGAATGGGAACACATAACATAAAAAGGGTTTTCTTAAATTTGACTGCAAAAGCGAAAATACACCTAGAAAGCCCATACAAGGCAAACATCTGTCTAAACAAGAAGCAAATGTGCTATGATTTAACCAACACGCATTCTTAGGACACAAAAATGACATTATACTTTTTTTGAAAAACAAAACAAAAACTCTATAGTGAAACATTTAAGTGACCGTAAAACTGGATTTCTGCTGATTTTTCTTCAACTTCTATGTTAAGGGGAGTGAAGTGGTGTGCAAAATATAACACACCCCTCTGTTATTGGGCGTTTACTACTGAAAAGGAAAAAAAAGGAGATAAGAGCTAAAAAACAGTGTCAAGAAAAAACAAACAAACACTCCTAACTGGTCAGAACACATGCTGCTTAGAGATTGATTTGCAGATGTAGATGTCAGCTCTTTCCTACGCTGGACAAAAGATCAGTTTAGGTATGGCCAGCATTAGATACAGAATGCAATGGGGTGAAGTTCATATATTTAAGGTGAAAGATGTTCATGCATACATACCGTGGCAAGACCACAGCGGCTTTCCCGGATTGTGGCACAACACCCAATTAAACCAATGATGAACAGCAGAGCTCCCACTGCAATAATGATTACACCCGGAATCAAGGTGTAAATGTCTTCAAAGAAGTGCTCATAATCGTCATATGTGATGAAGACATAGGCTCCAACGTAGCACAAGATACCGGCTGCGGCCTGCAGACAAAAGGACGTTAAATACATCAGAGGGAAAAAAAACTTTTTTTTTTTTTAATATATGAATGTTACTAACAGGAAATACACTCGCTCACATACATTAATAGTTTCTTGCAATAAAGTGAGAATTCAGGACCGTGCTTCCTATCTCTATGTTAGGGCCAGTTCACACCACATGTAGTTGTTATGCAGTCCGTTTATTTGACTGCTGCAGTCAAAATACATCCCAATGCTTTCCTATGGGCTTTCTTGTGCTTAATTCACACTGCAATGGTGTGAATAAAGCGCAAGAAAGCCCATAGGAAAGTATTGTGATGTATTTTGACTGCAGCAAATAAACAGACTGCATCACAACTGCATATGGTGTGAGCTGGTCCTTAGTGCTGACCCAAGCCTGGACAAATCCAGGGAGACAGATAGCCAATGCTCCTTAAAATTACAGGCGGTGTCTAACTATTGAGGTTTTCTGTGGTTGGTGTCAATGGAGCTAGCTTAATTGTGGATTGGATAGGCTGGCTCCCGAATTTGTCCACCCAGGCATTAGTGGCAGGTACTTTACAACACACAGTGACCATGGGGAACATAAGTAGCCACCCTCCAGAAGGAAGGACAGTGTCAGCACCAATTCAGAGATGATTTGAGGATCTACAGCTGAGGGATACACAAATAAGATACATTTTTGGTAATAGTTAAGGGTCTTGAATGCATTAAGATTTAGCTCCTGAGTTTAGTGTCACTTTAAGATGATAAAGTGACTTTGTAACTCCAGTGACACCATGGCGCCCACCTTTTGTTTGTGTACAGTACACAAGTATGTTTATTCCATATTTAAATACAGACGGCAAAGCAAAAGAAACAATCCAGCCTTGATAACCACATTGTTCAGAAACTCAGTAAAAAGGAGATAAAATCACCATTAACAAACAGAAATGGCTCCATGATGTAAAATACACCATTTGGTCATAGGGACAAAACCCTTACATCTCCAGCCGCCTTATCATTCCACAAAAACATGGCAGGCTTTTATTTATTGATCTTTACATTATGACAGGGCTCCAAGTTTTCTAGTGTTTTCATACATGCAGCTGCTTTTTGAACCCCCCATCATGGGAACGATCATTGCCTCTCAGTATTCTATACACAGTAATAATGTAATTGTATCTAGCTGTAGATAAAATAATTTGTTATCGCAGCGTCAACTGAAAACAAGACAGTACTTTCTAAAGATAAGGAAATAGCCGTTTCAAGGTGTATACACAGCCTAGTACGAGTATAGAAACCTTTTAGGCCCCATTCCCATGGCCATACACCGTCAGATCAGCATATTTCTGTGGTGGGTACGGCTGGGTGTTTACAATCAGCTGTGGACAGGGAGCCAGTACAAATCAATGAAAGACTGAATCTGGCCACTGCTGTTCCTATGTAATTGCTGAAGAAGCAATGTGGCATGAGATAAATAAGAAGCTCTATACGCAGATGGTTTGCACCCAGGGCCGCTCATCTGTTCCTAGCTGCAGGTATGTACTCCATGTGTGGACAGCTGTGGAGCCCGTCATTGATTTGTATACGCTGAGTGGCCGCAGCGAACCGGAAAACACGTGGCTGTACCCGTCGCAGACACACTCTGATCTGGGTGGTGTATGACCATGTGAATGAGCTGCTTGTGACCCCTCCTGGGAAGACTTGACCCTATTTGTACTGGTGGCCATTGTCTCCAAGACAAAAAGGGATTGGGAAACCAAAACTATTGGAGAGGTCATCAGAACTTGGAGAAATCTTCCAATATGGACAATTGTTCTGGTGACAACTATGAAGGAAACTCCGCTCACTTTGCAGAGACATTCTCTCCTTCTCTGGGACAAGTAAAGGGAAATCCCACAATGGGTCATAGACAGCAATACTTAAAGGAGAACTCCAGGCAAAACTGATTAACCCTTGCACTAGGGGCTACCCCCCACATTGCAAGGGCTAACTGCTCATTTTTATCTAGATGCTAAAAAAAAAAAAGTTATACTCGCATCTAGACACAAATGAGCACTTAAGCTAGGACTTGAAAAATCCCAGGCGCCAGGTTGCCATGGCGACTAAAAATTGCATCCAGACGCCTGGGTTTTTGTCAACCTGTTCACTGTGCCCTGCCGCGGCCTATAAGGGTGAAGAGTTTGGAGGAGGCAGGAGAAGTGAACAATCTAGGACAACATGGCTGATGTGGAAAAATTCTCCAATTCAGCTCACTTTCCAGTTCAGCGATGTTGTCCTAGATTGTTCACTTCTCCTGCCTTCTCCAAACTCTTCACCCTTTTGTGAATAACCCTGATCAATATTGTAAAGTGCATGTGATGGGAAAACTTTCATCCGGAAGCTGAGAGTCAGTGATGTCATCAATGGACACATTTTTCAGAAATGCATATGAGGAAGCAATGGGGATTCTGAAAGTAGCCATACATAGCTCCAAATCCAGCCAATCCTTGCTAAACTGGCCAACATTTGAGCTGTTGGGGGCCCTACACCCATAGATGTCTGTTGTTCAACTCCATGATCCGAACTAGAGATAACTATCAATTTCCCCATTCAGGCTAAACTGTGGATGGAGGAAACTGGCACGGCTGGCTTCTGTACCTGATTGGCTGCAGTTACTGTTCAGTTAATAATTTTCTACGACGCCCCTTCAAAAAAAAAAGTTTGTAAGCCCGGTGGTGCGGGCAAGGCCACCCATGATCAAAAATTGGCTGACTGAACGAGCTCCGTGCCGCCACACGCAACGATCCATGCCGGCCGTCTGGAATTTCCATCTAATATTCCAGCAGGCTGTTCCCTGCACTCACCACCATCGGGAGACATGACCAGCACTGCCCAACCCCGATGTGCCCTGCAATATGACATCTATGTAGCAGACATATGCACCGTACAATGCACCATCCAATGCACCGTACACGTCTGCTGGCTGCAACACACAGTACCAGCTGACAGCTTGCAAGGACAGCACGCACAAAGACCACAGACCGGCCTCAGCACCCCGCCAGCCTCTCGTCCCTCCACAACCCCTTCCCACTCACCCAGAAAATTAGGTTCAGAAAGACCAGGACGGTCTTCGAAGAGATCACCCCGCACTGCCCCATCGCTCCGCTCACAAGATGGCTGCCCCACTATGTGACGCAGCTCCCGGCTCACGGGCTCCCAAGGCAACAAGACCCGCCCACATTCGCGTAGCGCCGCTGCCTATTGGCTCCCGGCTGGGCGCTCATTACCATCTTTGATGAGGTAAAGCCCTCTCATTACAATACACAAGGTATATGTCAATGGCTGAGGTGAAGCGGCACTGGGGGGCTGCAGTACTCTACCTGGCGTTATTTAAGTGTTTCATAATCACTTTCTTTTACATATGTTCAATTCACAAAAAACAGTAGCAATTGTGTGTGGAATTTTTTTTTCATTAGCCGGGCATTTTAGGTTTCGTGTATATGAGCTAATGTAACCTGTACACATAAAATTCCGGTATATTTCCCCAAAGGCAGTCTGTGTTCGAGGCATACTTTTGTACGCATGTGTATCACCAGCATATATCTGCTGCACAGCCATTGATGTCTGGGCAGTGGCATCACAAGGGGGGTGGGTGCGGCCTGCACTGAAAAGTCGGGCACTTGGTTATGGACAGCTGCACGACAAAGGAGGGGACCTAGCAGCATACCTTATCCCACCAGATGAAATTCCCATCCTTTCTAGGGTTGCCACCTTTTCTTCAAGTGAACCCCGAACACTCTAGCAACGTGCGGATATTTTTTTGGGGAAAATGAGCCACGGCTTATTCAGATGTAAATAGCGCCACCCATTCATATGTAAATATCACAGTCGAGAGTATTTTCAGTGGGGGGGCCAGTAGCCCCTATCTTAATTTTGGTTGCCCCTGTCTGCCTGGCATCTTGTGTCCGGGTTTCTGCTGCCATGAAACCTGGACACAGCATTCAAAACCCGAACTGTTCGGGTGAATCCTGGACAGGTGGCAACCCTAATCCTTTCCTTGCTGGCGTCCTTCACCAAGATGGCCGCTGGTGGTAAAGTGCACGTGACATCATTACGCATGTGCGTAATGATGTCACCCGTACACATATTGACATGGGCACTGGGTGACACCCAGCCTGGTGATGCCCCTGTGTCTGCAGGCAGCTATAGCAGCACTTGTGGCTTCTCAGGAAAATACACAAAACCTTATGTGTAAGCCCCCACCCCATGCTGCCCTCTGCCTGAGGCCTAAAGAGCCAGCCTGCAAAAGAAGAGTCAGGGTCGATTCACACCAGTTGCATTGGTGCTGCGCTGGCTGTTTTTCCAGTGCAGCCCCAAGACACAGTAATTTGCCTTGTCATGGATGGGTACCATTTACACTACCAAACGTAGTGGCATACTCTGAAAAAAGTAGGGCAAGGTTCATTTTTTTTCAGCGCAGCAGAATCCGACGTGGAACAACCACCTTGCACTCCATTGTGCCCGTAGAACTGAATAAAATATCACATGTGACCTTTAAATAAAGTTCTAACAAAAGCAGTGCAATGTCAGCTCATCAGCGCTATGCCAGGCAGGGGACGGAGACAAGACCGGTCACCCTGCATAGGAAGACGAAGCAGCATTGATCGGTCTTTATGACAAGAAATTCCACACTGGATTACAGCACAGATCTGGAAGAAATACACAAATCACAGCAAGATTCAACTCAGAATTGACTGGACTCTTGTATCTAGACATTTGTTTATCCCAGAGTTCAGATCTAAGTGTGTCAATTACTAGACTGCATAGAAGCTGCAATGTTCCTGAGATTAAACAGACTGAAAAGCTGTTTTTAGTGATGCTGGTAGCTTCTGATTTAAAAGCAACATTCCTAATTTTCAGTAATACCAGATGGCTTCTTCTAGCTATAGTCTGTACTAGGAATTTAAAATCAGACTTTCTGTATGACCTCACTTTAACTTCGAACGTATATATCTCAGTGCAGCTGAAGTAATGTGTAGTACAGGGGTGAAACTACATACCCCATGATGCTTCTGCCTCTGGAAGTCGTGCCTGTGGTTGTCAGAGTCTTGCAATGCCTCATGGGATTTGTAGTTCCACAACAACTGAAGGTTATCTACTCCTGGTGTATTGGTCAGGACTGAACACAGCATCTCAGTCACTTTAATGAAGAAATATAAGAGCCTGTGTATAAATGTATATTGTCAGTACTTGCAGTCCGTATATACTGTGTGCCTGTGAAATGATAAATATTAGTGATCGTAGGTTCATCAGTGGATCTTGTTGTCAGTACTCTTCACTCTTCCTTTGTTATTCTTCTCCCCATTAGCTCCAGCAGATGCCAGGAAAGAGGTCACATTGAGTTACAGAAGCGTATTCATCGGGATTTTCTTGGCAAATGCTCTCACTTCATTTCTTTATTCCTGTCTAGTAAAGCGTAGGACTTCATTGCACTTTCCCCATCTTCACCCTACAGGTTTGTGTTGTTAGTATACAACATAGTGCTGTATATAGAGCCCTGTATTCAGTCATATCAAACTGACAGAACTAGAAATAGCTGTGTACATACTGCAACAACTCATTGGAATGGATATATAAAGCGTATTCCCAGCTGGACATCAGTAGAGATAATAAGAGGAAACATTTGAGAAATATAGTAGAATTTAGGATTAGAATGGGATTAAAGGATCATTAAACCCTCACATGTCTTTGCATATATCTATAGCTAGTAAGCAGTAGATATATGCAAAATGATAAAAAAAACTTTTTCAAAGGGTTAATACTTACCTGTGTCACCGCTGCGCGCTCCTGTCTGAACATCTGAAAATTCCCGGGCGGCCGCAAAGGATCTTGGGGCGGACGCATGTGCAGTTCAGATCTTCGGCCGAGAGACTTTCCTAGAATGAGTGTGGACTCCCTGCTGGCTCAGGTGACTGCTCAGTAGCTCTCCTCGGGGTGATGCAGCTCCATGCACAGGCGCCAAGCTGAGGCGACAAAGTATCCTGGAAGAGCCCGACCTGCACCATGCTTTCCACAATGATGTCTTCTCCTTAGTCACCAGAGGAGTTCAGGACCAGTCAGATCTACTCTCCACCCTGAATGAATCGATTGTACATCCGACATCTTCCAGACCCTGGAGCAGGCTGCCCTTCATCTTTAATTTACTCCTTGGAGAAAAGAGTTTCATACTGTAAAGGTGAGTGAGATCTCCCAAAGGACTGTTCAAATCAGCTTTCCTGACTGGGGCCTTAGTATCAACACAGACAATACAATGTGACAATCCAACATTAGATTTATCATAACGATGTAATGTGACAGGGGTAGGTAACTCCTGCCCTCCAGCTGTGCTTTAACTTTAAATCCTATCAAGCCTCTGGGAGTCATAAATTGTAACTGTGAGTCTTGCAATGTTTCATGTGACTTGTAGTTCCGCAACAGCTGGAGGGCCGGAGTTGCCCACCCCTGTAATATGAGGACCTACCTGATCTATTCAATCAATGTGTTTCCAATCTAGCAGGACCTTGCTCTACTTAGTAGTTGGCAGATCTAAAAGAGATTGCACAGTCAGATTGTACTGTTAGGCTAGGGCAAGGGTCTGCAACGTGGCGGGGGTGGCACGCAAGGCTATCTCTGCCGGAACGCAAACTCATTCTGTAAATTGACAACTCGCTCAAGCCAGCTGTCAATTAGACATTTGGCCCACCCACCTCCCTGACATAGCTAAACAACCGTGGTGTGCAGAGACGCCCCTGAGGAAGTCCTCAGCTGTCTGCCTGAGCTGCCACCTGGTGGTTCCCTCACTTGCAGCCAGGACAGAAGCAGGAGATGCTCTCACCATGTGCCTGACCAGAGGATCTACTGTTCCCTGCCACCATACCGCCCAACATCAGACAGAGTCAGAGCGCAGTCACCGAATAGACCCGGAGAATCACCCTGCAATATTAGTGTAAGTTCCACAAGCCCTCTGCATACTGCTCTGCATACTGTTCACCCACCCAACGTTAGCCCTCATACCTGCAGACACACACATAGGCCCCCACAAATGCACTGCAGTATCTTGAACCACAAATAGCTTTGTTTTTATTCCTGCCCTAATATATAGGACAAGAATAAAATCAATGCTCTTTGTGGCTGATACTGCTGTGCACTTGGATGGGTCTGCATGCGGGCCTTATACATAACATAGGGGAGATTGCTGCTACAGTACTGATTTTTTTTAAATTTTACATTGTTTGGGGCTCATGTAGGCTGAAATGTGTGGATTAGTTCTGATCTGCTATGCATTGCTGCTGATCTGAGGTCTGCCAAACAATACGTGTATCAGTGCTGGTCTGAGGTCTGCTATGCATTGCTGCTGGTCTGAGGTCTGCCGAGCAATGCGTGTATCAGTGCTGGTCTGATGTCTGCCATGCATTGCTGCTAGTCTGAGGTCTGCTGTGCAATGCGTGTATCAGTGCTGGTCTGAGGTCTGCCATGCATTGCTGCTGGTCTGAGGTCTCCCGAGCAATACGTGTCTTCAGAGAGGCAAAAAGACTTTAGGTTTGTATTTAGAGCGTAGAGATAAGCTTAACGATTTTATAAGATCATCCTTTAACCCTTTCGCTGCCAAGGACGTACGTCGTACGGAGCTACAAAAGTGCTTCCAGCTGGCCAGCTCAGTACGTCGTACGGACCTGGCATTTACAGTTTTACTATAAGCTGATGGTCGCTTTAGCGACCATCAGCTTATAGTAGAACTGTTCAGCAGACTGTCCCCTTTAAATTAATAGCTGTACATAAGCAAAGGAGAAGTCTGCAGGGCTCTTCTGCAAGCAGCCAACGCTGTAGGCAGTGACAGACAGACAAGTCAACACCTCCCCAGGCACCGCAAAAGTGCACACTCAGTAAAGGAAAAGTGCGACTTCCCAGGGGAATATGGAGGCTGAATAGTATTGTCAGCTGCGGAACTAACGTTATTATTAGTAAAACACATTGATGACCAGGTCATTTCTATAGAATGACTTCATCTGAGAATGTTGATTATATTAGGGTCATGCGCATATTTAAATGGTACTTTGCAATATGATCTTTTTCCTTTTTGCCTGGAGAAACACTTTAATCGTGCCTTAACAGTACCCTGAAAATGTAACTTTTGTCTTGAATTTCTCTTGAAAATGTCAGTGCCCTTCCTGGTATATGAGTGTGCCTAGGCGTTCCTGTAGCCTA